CTTGAAGGAGTTCCCAGAGATACTTCGCACTTGTTGGCCCTTTTGCCTTCACTCTGCGGTCCAGCTCGCCCCAAACCATCTTGATTGGGTTCAGGAGGATTATGAATATGTAAAATAACTAGAACTGAGAGTTATAGTAAATTAATATGTAATTCAAATCAAGGGTAAAAATATTTATTATCATTTGAAAGATTATAACTGTAATTTATTTACTGACCAGTGTCACATGCAGCTCTACTGATTAGTTTCTTTCTTTCCATTTTGTCATTTTGTGTCTGGCTCCATTTTTTTTTTACTTCCTGTTTTATTTTGGTTCACTAATTTCTGTTCTCGTTTCACACTACTTCACTTCCTGGGATTTCCCTTTAATCAGCCTTCCTTTATACTGCTCACCTGTATCTTGTTGCCAATTGCCTCACCTATTTAGACCTCTTCCTCTGTAGCCTTCCTTGCCAGTTTGTCTTTGTCACTTGTGTCACTTTATTCTACCTTGCAGTTAAGCTAGTTGCTCTCCTTGTTTTTTTGAGCAGCCTTGTTTTTTGGGATTTGTACCACCTGCTTCACTCATTGTGCAGTAGCACATTAAATTACTTTTTTGACTTAATTTCCCTGAGTTGAGTCCTGCATTTGAGTTATCTTTGATTGCCTCTGACAACCAGGGTTTTAGCCTCTTATCTAAAAAGTTGGAAACCTGAATACTGCTCTTAAAAATCCAGTTGTCTTTCACCAATTTAGCAATTAAAGCTATGGCTCTTAGCAACGTTATTAACCACCAACCAAATAAATGTGTTCTGTTCATTCGGGTTCCTTCTGAAAGAAGAGTGGATCCAGCCTGGGTGATAAATTGTTCACTGTGTAAAATGAACACAAAATACCACGGGTTAAAATACAATGGTTCCTTTATTAGCTATAATCACACGGTAATATATATGTAATAACTAAGCAAACACTAAAAACTACTGAAAATAAGCAAAATTAAAGATAACAAAGAGAGGGTGTTGCTGAAGCAGTTAGCTTCTGAAGCAGTTAGCTTCAGCAACACGTGACTCGTTCAGTCTGTAGTGAGCCTTAGCATTCAGTTAAACCTTAAAACCATCAGCAGTTGACCCAGCACCTGACCATCTATCACGACTATCTATTGTACCTGTAGCCAAGCAGAGCACTTATTAAGCATCAGATTAAAGGGGGGAGGTTACTGTTTTTGGTTCGGTGGAGTGAAGGTTTCGGTGTTCTGCAGGTCCGTCTTTGGTCCAGTCTAATTGTCCAACAGCAACTCAAAGAGATTTGGATCAATACGATGCAACAATAAAAGACGATTTGCAAGGTGCTGTGCTACCGTGAGTTATAGCACACCACAAGCGCAGAATCGCAGTTATATCGAGCGCAGACGTCCCCGTAGGGACTTTGTTGTTGCGTTTAATAGCCTTCAGCTGGATGCGCTTGTATAGTTTTTGAGTGGCACAGAGCCACCGACAAAATAGGATGCTAATATGGGGAACTAGTTTTTTTAAAACCTATGCCAGAGGGGTGTGTCTTCAGAGTGGCGTCCTTCCCGATACATCAGCAACAATGGATCGCACTAGCACAAGTGTCACTAGCAAAGCACCCCCACACCATCACAGCTCCTCCTCCCCAATGCTTCTCGGTGGAAACCAGGCATGTAGAGTCCATCCGTTTTCCTTTTCTGCATCATACAAAGACATGTTGGTTGGAATCTTGATGGTTTTTGCGACTGCACTTGGGGACACTTTCAAAGTTTTGCAAATTTTTCAGACTGACTGACCTTTCTTCAAGTAATGATGGCCACTCATTTTTCTTTACTTAGCTGCTTTTTTCTTGCCATAATACAAATTCTAACAGTCTATTCAGTAGGACTATCAGCTGTGTATCTACCTGACTTCTGCACAACACAACTTATGGTCCAAACCCCATTTATAAGGCAAGAAATCCCACTTATTAAACCTGACAAGGGACAACTGTGAAGTGAAAACCATTTCAGGTGACTACCTCTTGAAGCTCATCCAAATGCCAAGAGTGTGCGAAACAGTAATCAAAGCAAAAGTAGGCTACTTTGAAGAACCTAGAATATAAGACATATTTTCAGTTGTTTCACACTTTTATGTTAAGTATATAATTCCACATTTCATAGTTTGGATGCCCTGTGTGAATCTACTTCAAAGTCATGAACATAAAGAAAACACTTTAAATGAGAAGGTGTGTCCAAACTGTACTGTATTTTTTATGCACAAAACTGCAACAAAATCTGATTAAATCAGCAAATACAACAACATGATTGGTTGTAAAGACAGTTGAGATAAAGGACAGGAAATCCTGCTACTAACCTGGTTAGCTTTGGGGAGAATGTTACCACGGGGACTGAAGCAGGTTGAGGAAACTACTTTTGTGAACCGCAAAAGTCAGAGTTTAGCTGTTTTTAGGTTTAGACAACTTAAAATTTTCAGTAAACCTGTTTCATGAAACGAACCCCTGATCTCTTTTTTCCTTAAAATACAGCTCCGTAAACCTGTGTCTTTTACATGTTTACAGATGCTTTATCAGGCTTTTCTCACTTGTTCTTCCTGTCTGGCAAAGCTTGTATTGAGGGGTTTAATCTTGGGTCTGTATGAGCCTTTGCTTCTGTATAGATAAAGCCTACTAACACTGAGATGGTCCACTGACCAAATGTTTTTGTTCATATTTGCTCCCGTGGTACAACCATTTTTTCCTGTAGATTGTGTGGTAGTTTCTCAACAACGGGCCTAGTTCCTCTTGAGGTATCCGGATATGATATACCTGTGAGATAACCATTTTCCTTGTAGTTCTACTAGCAGATATGCCAGTCGGTCGGACTCATCAATCTGTAAGAAGAACTTCCTTTTTTGAACATGCGCGGTGATCAAGGTTCTGGTAAATCGGCTCATAGCTCTGTTTCAACAGCAGGATTTGTCCATGAACACCTCACAACGGCCAACTGAATTTCAAACATGTTTATTTTTTTTTCTGACCTCAGGATTCACAATTGTGACATAGTCATGAGAGGCTGATCTCCCCTTGTTACCACCTGTATACCTGCACACGATGCAGGATGCTGTCATAATCTGGCCTGTTTGCTCCTCCTTAATTAGTAATTCCTTTCACCTGTCGTTTTCCCTCCCTGCCTCAATTGTAATTTATTCCTCTCACCTTTTTCCTCTGGTTTATATTCAGTTCAGCCTGAGCATTCAGGGCAAGATCATTACTTGTCTTTCTGTTAGTCTGTCTGTTCAGTTGTTTGCCTTGGTACTTGTGATGGATCCTGGCGGCCAGTGGAAAGAGGGTTTTGTGTCTGTCTCGTCTCCTAATCGTCCACTGTTCCTCCCCTGCTGAGTCCTCTGGGTTTTTGGCTCTTTACACGGGGAGGTTCAGTTTTTATCCAAGTAAGCCTGGCTCCAGGTAGGAGACCAGTTTACAGGTCCTGCATCAAGTTCTGGTTCCAGGTCCTGTCCCGGCTACCCTCTTCCACTGAGCACGCTCAGCTGCACCTGATCCTGTCTGCTCCTGTGCGTGACCATCTGGTCACGCTTTCGGAACCCTGTCAGACTCTGAACCTGTCCCAGAGCTCTGTTATTGCCTGGAAGCCTGGATCCTGCCACCTGTTCTGTTCCTGCCTGTTCTGCAACCTGTTCTGTCCATTCCTGCCTGATCTGTATCCCTGATCAGGATCGGCTTCATGCAACTCCTCCGGAGCTGCAGCACCGGGGACACTCTGGGTGACGCAAGCCGCATGAGCTGTCAGCCCATCGGCTGGATTGCACCCCTTTCAAGGGGTATGGACTGAACTGCTAAACCAGGTAAGTGACTCACTGAGAACATCATCTTCAGTCAGATGATCGTGGTCACGTAGCTGTGTTTCTCCCTTAAAGTGTCTGAGATTGGGCGGTGCCCCGCCCCCCTCCTGCAGTGTCCGTGAGCCTCAGCTCCACCTCAGTTTTTGTTTTATTTTAATAAACTTTTTGAACTTTCCTACTGACTGTCTCTCCTTGAATACTGGGTCCATCTGTCCCCTTTTCATGACAGATGCACAGTGAGGCTAAAACTCGGCCCGATCTAAAAATTCTCGCTCACTGGAGATTTGGCTCGAATGTATGCCCACCTTTTTTCCACGCACACTCTGCGATCATCATCAAAGAGAATTGAGCCTCAGCCAAATTCAGAACAAGAGGAAGGGAGAGTGAAGCGACAGAACAGTATTTGTCCATGCAGATGATGAGCAAGAAAGAAAGGAGGCAATTTCAACCAGTGATTCGGATTGATGTACAGATGGCAGAATAAAGATGAAGAGGATGGAACAGCGAGTAGTTGCAGGAGGTGCAGGATGAAAAAAGAGAAGGCTGGGTGAACGATCTGGGATAAGTTCAGGTGTGGAAAAAACCCTTGTTTCATAATGGAGCCAAGAAGGAAGGGAGATAAGTGCGAGTGGCCACACAGGCGCTCTGACGCAATCTTCACAAGATCTTTGCCCATTGACTCTCGTTAAAAATTATACATGTGCAGTAGATCCTCTGCAATACAAAGGTATAGGATAGCTCGGGGGGCTGTCACTACTCGATCCGTCCCGGAAGCACGAGCCGTCCTGCGCATGCGCGAACAGATACATCCGGGTGGCCATAGACAATGTAATTATGGTACTAAAATTGCTTATTTCTATCCTTAACTCCCTAAAGAATGCTAATACACATTTTTAACAAATGTGCTATGACTTTTGTGAGAACATTTTGACTTTTCACATTTTCTTTGTTAAACAGCCTCTCTGACGTCATTATCGGACATGCTAAGAATAGTCCTGCAGAATATGATTAAACAATGCTTAAATCCAGGACACACATTACATGATAAAATACACATAAAATAGTTCTGTGAGATTATATACATGTTGATATGAATACAGTTTCAGACATTGTACAGATCTAACCAAAATTATGATCTTTTTTTGAAAAAAAAAAAAACTTATCTACCTTGCAAACCTTTGGCCTTAACTATAAATGGCAACAGCAGCAGTTTAACCCACATCCCCAGGTAAAGGAAAAAGCCATACCGATACGTAACATGAAGTTGTTGAATGACTGGTAGTTGATGTTCATTAGGGTCACCTTCATGGCCAGAGCAAAGTCTGCCAAGTCAGCTAGGTGCTGCCAACGCTCTTTGTGAGACTGCTCTTCCCTCTGAAAAACAGACATTGATAAACTTCATTTAAGACAATCCTCATGAGGCAGTAGGTTAGTGTTCAATTGTAATGCAGACAACCAAGTTTAAATTCCATAAAGTTTTAGCTGAAACAGGATAATCATATGTGAAAGGAGAGTGCATTTTGCCTTTATGTTTATTATTATCATACTTCAAGTCTATGAATGATCTACGTTGCCCCTTTGTGAGAATTCAGTGAATGATTGTGATGCATGTAGAGTTTATCCATGTTATGCTGTGCAATTGCTTTTACTCAGAAAAATCTGTAATATGTTTCCATTTCTCCATTTTTCTCAGTTAAACCTTTGACTTAGACTTAGACAGATTTATTTGTCATTTTGTTTACACAAGTGTCAAACAAAAAGAGCTCTCTGGACAATTTTTTTTTTTTAAGTGCAGTGAAAAATAGTAAAAAATATATAAAAACAGTTATATAAACATATGACTGTACATTTACACTTCTAACATTTCTGTTTTTTTATATATATAAAACAATAATAATAAATATAATAAAATAATACAATAACGCATTTTACAAAACATTCAGCAGTCTAATGGCAGTGGGGAAGAAACTGTTATAGAATTGACTAGACCAGTGGTTCCCAAAGATTTTCTTCTGGGCCCCCCTTTGGATTACAATAAAATTCCACCCCCCAAAAAAAAAAAATAAATAAATCAACAGGGCACACACATCGTTCAACCAGATATAATAAACCTTTACACATGTTTTGTTTTCAAACTCCACTGAAGTTTATTTCACACTTCAGGTTGCAACAAAACAAACTACACACTATCTTTAGAGTAGAACACTTTTTTTCCTAGTTCTATACTGTACATTAGAAGGGGATTCTGTGTTGCCAGTGTTATTTTAAACATACTTCTTTTTTTATTTTTATTTTGTAACAATATTTAACTATGCTATCATCAACACATTAAAAAAAGCCTCCGTGCAAAATGGAGTGAAAACATGAACAGCTCCCTGAGTTTTTTTTCTTTGCAAAAATTACTTTAATCCTCCCATCTTTTCAGTGGCTGTGGTAAGCCTGCTTGTTGGTGCAGATCTTCTCAAATCTGGGTTGCAGTGTCACAACTGTTCATTAGCTTTGATCTGTATTTGGTCTTGATTGAGGCCACAGCAGAAAAACCTATTGCACATAGGTAGGACGTGGCAAAAGGAAGAAGTGTGGCCAGTGCTCTCTTTCCTAACAGAGGGTAATCTTTCGCCACTCCTATCCAAAATGCAGCCAGTGTCTTTGAGCTACACTGCAGCCTCATTGTGGAATCGGAGGTGATATCAATGAACTGCTCCTCTTCTGATGTGCTGAAGTCGGCAGGTGGTGTTGCACTGAAAGGATCACGGATCCAGTCATATTTATTGGAATCCTGCACCAGGAAATATTTCTGGAGATGTTTCTAAAGGGCACAGATGTGTGCTTCCATGCATGAGATCACTGTTTTCTGCAGCTTGTTGCCTTCAGTGAAGGATTTCAGGTTCTCAAATGAGTCCACATTTCCATCCTTCACCCGCTGCCCCCACATCTCTAGTTTTCTGATAAATGATGTGACTTTATCTGCCAGATGTGGAAGGTGTGTGTTTGGGCCTTGCATCTGCAAATTCAGTCCATTGAGTTTCAGAAACATGTCACTGAGATATGCAAGTTTCATGAGGAACTTGTTACAGTTAAATTTGTGGGCAAGATCGCTGCCTTCCTCCTCCAAAAAGATGCGTATCTCATCTCGCAGTTCAAAAACCCTGGACAGCACTTTCACACGCGACAGCCATCGGGACTCGCTGTGAAATAGAACAGCTGTGTGGTCGGAGCCCATTTCCTCGCACAGTGCTGAAAAAATTCGGGCTTTGACAGGTCGTGTTTTAATGTAGTTGACTGTGGCGATGACGTCGTTCATTACAGAGCCCGCAGTTTGCTGGCAGCTGAATCATCAATCATAGTTGAAACCATGTCCATAGCAAAGGGAAGTTTTAGTTCCTCCGCAACCGTGTGCAGCTTTTTACACTGTGCAACTCGGTAGGCAACTTTATATGAAGCGAGCTGAGCATTTGCCAACAAGGATGCAGCTTTTGTAAAGAAAGATTGCTGAGACCGGCAGTTTTTGTCTGAAAAAGTCAACTGACTTGTCTCTGTGCTCTGGATGTACGGTCTTCCAAGTGTCGTCTTAGCTTGTTGGGCTTCAGACTGTCACAAGCTAGCACTGTAAGACAGGCAACACACTGTGGTCTCTCCTCATTACCCACCGTTGTACATGTGAAGCCAAAGAAAAGATATGCTTCGTCATATTTTCTACTCTTTGTCTTTGAAGAAAGCTGGTTTGGAAGCATATTTTGCAGTGGTTCATCTTCTGCCTTACATGTAGGGAGCCCCGTCAAAAACCTGTCCATTATGCTCAGTCAAGCAAGCACTGTTTTTTGTTTTTTTGTTCATTCATCCATACCACTTCCCGCGCCCCCCCTGCAATGGCATTGCACCCCCCCTAGGGGGCGCGCCCCACACTTTGGGAACCACTGGACTAGACCTTCATCAAATGCTGTGAAGCCTTTTTCCAGAGGGTAGAGGAGCCCCAATGATCTTCTCTGCTTTTCTAACCACTCTCCTCACTTTCTTCCAGTCTGAGACGCTGCAGCCTCCACACCAAACAGTGAGACAGCTAGTCAGAACGCTCTCTATGGTGCTTCTGTAGAAGGTGGTGAGGAAGGTGGGGGCAGGTGGGTTCTCCTCATCCTCCGCAAGAAGTACATGTGCTTCTGTGCCCTTTTGACCAGTGAGGTGGTGTTTACATTCCAGGTGAGGGTGTCTGTGATGTGCACCCCCAAGAATTTGGTGCTGTTGACCACCTCTACAGCTGCGCTGTTGATGACCAGTGGAGCATGGTTAGGCCGGTTCTTCCTGAAGTCCAAGATGATCTCCTTCGTCTTCTTCACGTTCAGGATATTATCGTTGCATTTCACCAGCTGCTCCACCTCCTCTCTGTAGTCCAGTCGTCTCTGAAGAGGCCCAACACCGTGGTGCTGTCACAATGTGAATGGTGGTGAACCTGGGGACGCAGTCATGTGTCGTCAGGGTGAACAGCAGGGGGCTCAGGACCCAGCCCTGAGGGGAGCCTGTGGTTAGACTGATGACATCAGAGGTGAGGAAGTCTAGAAGCCAATTGCGGAGGGGTGTATGTAATGTGGGATGATAGTGATCTGACTTCCAGGAACAGCATCCGCACGTGAGTGTTCTCCTCCAGGTGTGCCATGCTCAGGTGGAGAGCAGCAGATATGGCGTCCAAAGTGGAGCGTTGCGTCAGTAGGCAAACTGGAACGGGTCAAATGTTGGTGGCTGACTGGAGACGATGTGTTTAACCAGCCTTTGGAAGCAATCCATCCTGATAGGAGTCAGTGCGACAGGCCGGTAATCATTTAGTGAGGTGACCTGAGGGTTTTTTGAGACTGGAATAATGGTGGCAGACTTGGAGTATGCTGGCACTAGGGATCAAACCTTCCAAAGAAGTTGTTCGGTTCATTTAGGATGTCATTTAGGATGTCATTGTTTGCTGCATCTACCAGGGGGGGGGTGTTGTAGTTTGTGATCATCCAAATGCCTTTCCAGATCGTCCTAGTGTTGCTGTTGTCTTAGAAAAGATCCTGGATCTTCTGTCTGTGGTTCTGCTTTGCTGATCTAATGGCACGATTTAAGTTGGCACGCGCTATTCTCACTGCCTCTTTATCACCAGACTTGAAAGCTGAGTTCCGTGCTTTTAGCGATTTCAGAACCTCTCCATTTATCCAGGGAGGTTGGTTGGCCCGGGTGGTGAAGTTCTTTTTGATGCTGACGTCCTCAATGCATTCGTTAATGTAGGCTGACACAGTCATGGCATACTCATCAATATTTTATAGGTTGTCAAATGTTGCTGCAGCCTTGAGGATGTTCCAGTCAGAGCATTCAAAACAGTCTTTGAGTGTCTCCATGGTGTCTTCAGACCACACTCGAAACTCTTTAACTGACGGTTTAGCCCTGATCAGCAGGGGCTTATATGAAGTGATAAGCATGACTGAGAGATGATCTGATGACCCGAGGTGGGGGTGGGGGGCTGCTCTGAATGCATCTTTGATGTTAGAGTAAACCAGGTCTAAAGTCACATGTTGGTAGAAATGGGGGGAGAACAGTCTTCAAGTTAGCCTGGTTAAAATCCCCAGCACTGATGAAAATGCCCTCTGTGTGCAGATTGGGGCTCAGAGATAGCCTGGCATAGAGTCTTCATGGCCTCTTTAGTGTTAGGACTGAGGGGCACGTGAACAGCAGTAATGCTAACCCCACTGAACTCCTTGGGCAGATAGAACGGCCTGAAGTTAACAGTCAGAAATTCGATGTCTGGAGAGCAGAAACTGATCTAGCATTCTTCTTATCGATGTAAACACATAGCCCACCACCCCGAATCTTACCGCTTAGTTCTTTGTTCCTATCGGCGCGGTATAGAGTTAGCCCCTCCAGGCTAATAACTTTTTCTGGTATTGCCGGATGCGGCCAAAACTCAGTCAGAATGATGGCGCAGCAGTTACATTTGTCCTTTCTTGAAGACAGTTCCAGTCGAAGATTATCTATTTAGTTATCCAACGAGCGGACATTGGAGAGCAGGATTGATGGAAGTGGAGGTCTGTGGGGATTTCTCTTTAGGTTCGCAGTAAGCCCCCCTCTGCAGCCTCGCTTTCTCCGTCTCGCAAATCTCTTCCTTCTACCGTTATATTCTGCTGTTTTGTTTACATCCGTCCGTAGCACTCCACAGCTTTTGAAACGGTCAAAAGTTTCTGAATTTAAAACATTTTGTGACCGTAGCTCCAGCAGGCATTGGTCAATCATAGATGTGATTTAAAGTCTAGTCTGTATTGTATTAAGCGGCATATTTTGTGAAATTACCATTATCATTACCATTACCATCACCATATTGTTGAGAGGAGCCGTTCTTGGCCGCTGCTTTGGAG